GCCCTTGTGCTTGCCAGGGAAGCGCATATTCCACTGAGCCATCTCCCCGGCCCAAGAGTTTTATATTTTTATTTTTTGGCGAAACTGGGATTGAACTCAGGACCTTGTGCTTGCCAGGCAAGCACTTATTCTACTGAGCCATCTCCCCGGCCCCTTACCTATTTTATGTTGCAGCAAATTGTTTCTGTTCCAGTATTTAGTCTTTGATCCATTTTGATTTTATAGGTATGGGTTTAGAGTCAATCTTCTGCTGTTCAGTTTTCCTATTACCCTGCTTAAAAACTTTCTTTTCTTTTCTTTTTCTGGTCTTTTTGAGACAGGGTCTTGCTATGCAGTTCGGGCTGGACTTGAACTCACTTTGTAGCCCAGGCTGGCCTCGATCCTCCTTTCTCAGCCTCCCGAGTGCTGGGATTACAGGTGTGTACCACCATGCTTGGCATTGTTGTCTTCAAATTAGTTGTGTAGATTAACAAATATAAACATAGAAAATTAGTAAAAGAAAGTTATAAGAAATTGAAAAGGAGAAGAAAAATATTTAAGCATTAGCTGCTCCTTATAATAGACCAGAAGAAATCAGCAGTATAATTACCCAAGCTATCCTGAATATACACATAAATATATCTTTTCCCTTTCATCTTTCTTTTATCCTTTTCCACATCCCAGTTGTTCCTCCCCTTTGAACAGTTTTTTTTCTTTCATAGTATCTATTATACCCTTCTGATTTTATTTGTTCTTTCAGGTTCTTACACTAATGGGACAAAATGATGTTTTCACATGCAGGTCTGGTTTATTTCACTTATGAGTATGATCTCTATTTGTATCCATTTACCTATATAAGCCTTGATTTTATATTTTTTATAGCTGAATAACAATACTCCATTGTATAAAAATACTACACTTTTTTTTATCCATTACCCAGATGATGGGCATTTGGGTTGTTCTAAGATGTAGTTATGAAAACTTGTGCTGCTATAAACATGGGTGCACATATATCACTGTATTATGATATTTTCAGTTCTTTTGGAAAAATACCAGAAGGGGAATATCTGGGTTGAATGGGACCTCTAAACCGAGATTTGTAAGTAATATCCACACTGATTTCCATAATGGTTGTACCAGTTTACACTCTCAGCATGGAAGAAGTGTTCTTTTCTTTCCATAACCCCTCCACCAGCATTTGTTATTGGTTAACAACTTCTTCTTCTTC